GCAATAGTAGGCTTTAATTCTAATTGGCCAATTTGATAATTGACCAATTATATAATAGCCCTATATTACATGATAGGAGCATGCCTTTTGGTCAAAGAGCATGCCTTAGGCATGCCCCCGGGGCATACCCCATAGGGCATGCTTCTTAACCCCATAGCCCCAACCCTATCCGTGACGACCCTAAGTACTTGGCATAAAGAAGTTTTACAAATTGAAACTGAAGTTGAAATATATAAGACCACACAATGTTCATGCTATGGAATTCTCGTCGATGAATCAACTCATAGAGAATTTAAATATTTCGTAGTATGTATAATGTTTTGGGATCATAAAAAAAACATACCATCAGTTACTGTGACCAATCTTGAGGATTTAAATAATTGCACTGGCCAATCGGTAGCAGACAGTACTCTCAAAACAATTACGAATCACGGGCTTGATCCTAAAAAATGTTTAACATGGGTAACGGACAATACGGCCTATATGTCAGGTGATAAAAAAGACGCGATTGTCCAATTTAATAAGAAGGCAAATATAGATATGTAAGAATTGGTTGCGGAATGCATATAATGCATATTGTTTTTTCGAACTTTGAAGAAACAGCATTTGGCAAGTCACCCTCTTCAATAGGATTTTCCCAGACACCACAACCGTATAACCTTTTATATTTAGCTTGGTATCTCCATGACAGATATGACTTAAGCAATAAAGGAAAACCTCTCAATATGAAATCAAGTTGGATTCAAAAATTATATGACCAATTATTAGGGTATCATTTCTCTCAATACTAATTACCAATTTGGGGTCGTTGGAGATATGAATTACTTGCTGCAAAGCAATATTTAGCCCGGCGTGAAGCACATATAGAATTTACAAACTGGTTTATTTAGGAACTTGAGAATAATCAGAATACGCCAGCTGCATATCTTTCAGATTGGTATATTTAATTAATATTTATAAATTTAAATGCTTATTTTAAATATATCGATTAATAAGTTTTCTTATACTTACTAGGTATTTATTTCGGGATTGGCTCTTAAACGAAAAATTAAATATTCAAGTTCAGTGCTTAGTTACATTCAGCGAGCACTTATATGAGCCATTAATACAATTTATGGTCGGAAAGGATCCTATACCCTGTATTCAAGTAGAAAATCAGTTGGTTTAACTTTTACCTGGCTGATGTGCTCACGAAATATCGGACAAAGTGAATGAGTGGATAAAATTTTTATATGAACTCTGTGAAAATTTTGGCACATTCTTCAGACAAGAACTACTAACGGCACTTGAATCACTAATTAATAAAGAATTTAGTAAGCTCTTTGACAATTTAGAATAGGGAATAAACAAAGCATATGAAAGTTTTGTAAAATGGATGTCCCCGTGGGTACATTTACCATTGTTGGTATACCAGTTAGGTGGAAATTCTAGTCATGAATTTGCGCGGGCTTTTTATCATATTGTTTTACGAACCCCGTGGCTTTCAGTACCAAGCGAATGTGAAATAGAATTTGCAAAACAATTGAGTAATGATTTGGAAATATCCAATAATACATTCGGTCTTTGGGAAGAACTACAAAATAATCTAGAATTTAAAAATGAGTTTCTAGAATTTTGTTTGAACCCTAATTCTAATGTTAAT